GTGTGTGTGTGTGTGTGTGCGTGTGTGTGTGTGAGTGTGTGTGTATGTGTGTATGTGTGTATGTATGTGTGTGTTTGTGTGTATGTATGTGTGTGTTTGTGTGGGTGGGTGGTTGGATGGGTGTGTGTGTGTGTGTGTTCGTTTGTTTGTGTATGTGGGTGCGTGTGTGAGTGTATTACTTCCACAGATTTTTGAGATATTGAAATACTAAGATAGGACACTAATGATTGTAGTATTATACCCTTCAATTATACTATAGTATCATCCTGGAAAACACGTTGCAGTTGGTCTGTGTATATGCCGTTTTGGCAGCCATCGAGCCAATTAAATCAAATCATCTCCAAAGCAACCGGACGGGACCGGTACTGAACAAAATAGTTCAAAAGACTGAAGCTTTGCAAGACATTCACAGGTGTGGGGTACCAAAACTTGGAGCCGATTCACCCTTGCTCGTACGAGTGGACGAGGCACTTGCGTTCCTGCAGCGAAACAAGTACAAACAGGCGGACATATTAAGCAGTCTGCTCATTGGCTGAAGTTTTGGCCCGCAAATAAATCATATTTGTTTTTAACACATTCATAGTGATCTGACTGGTTGAATCTAGATTTGAGGTCTTGTTCCGTGGGTATGTGTGTAATATGAAACATAACGAGCGTACTGATAATACGTCCTGTACAAATTGACCAGAAGCTATACTAAAGTTTTTGGCTTTTCAAGAATTTCAGGTAAAGTCACTATCAGTTAGTGCGTACATAGTATGGGCACTCCCCACCTTTGTACCTCCGTTATGAAGACCATCAATCAAGCGTCCGCGCCAAATATTTATTCCACTGGCACTACGCAGTGTTTTCTTCAGAGGACTTCCACGAGTCTCTGGGTGCCTGTTATGCCACCTCTCAAGCGCTACATTGTATTGCTTCTCCTCCTCACCTGCAAAGGTAGAAAAAAACCTGTTCCACTCCATCTAGCGCGTTTGAAAATGCGATTTGAGAATCGCGCACGTATTCGTATTCTTTCCTCGTCTTACTTGGGAGAAATATAAGAATGTACATACGATACCATGTGGCGATCAACTGGACAATGATTTGAAATGGATTCTCGATACAGTATTTCACCGATGTTTCCCGTACCGCTTTAAACCCTAGAGTGTCGCACACTTCCCGAGCGACACATAGGTAGGCATCTTCATTAAAATGAAGCTTCTGCTCAAAAGTGGGAGCTTTGAATTTGATGTCCTTGTAGAGTTGCTTATCATCATTCCGTGCTATAGTGTCTGAACCAGTCATCGGAAACATTGTTATTGACATCAACTGAAACTTCGTCAACATCACCGGAAGTATTACCCAGATCGCTTGTATGCAATTTTCGTTTGAATTCACTCAAAATCGCAAGATGTCGGTAAGGTGCTATTGTGAAAGTATGTATCCATTTGTATATGTGTCTCTACTTTTTAAATTTAAAGAACTAAAATGGTGTTGATTGTTCTCAGGTCTCATGGTGTTGGTATTCACTTTCCAGTTTTCAGTTTTTACCTTCGCTGATTCTTAAACATAGCCTTCTAAAATGAACGTTGAACACAGCGTGGCACCATACACCAATGATTTTTTTCTTCGGAATACGGCTCCGCACACTCCGCCGCTATCCCAGGAATTGACCCCTAACCAGGTTTTTCTTACCTAACGGTTCATACAATGAACTAAATTTAATTTGAGTTCAGTTCTCGTGTTTACTATAACTCTGGTGAACAACAAATAATAAAATTTAATCGTTCGTGTAATCCTTTTTGACAGGTTTCTACAAGTTATGGGCAATTTTTTATAAGTCACCTAATCATATATATCGATTCAATATGCTATCCAAATTCGCAGTCGAAATTTGGACTCTCCTTGACCCCGATGGCTCCTACATAGACGAATGGGACGCCGACCTCGGTATGGCTGTTGCCTCGAAGTATGATGACATGGGCCTTACCCCGGTCTTGTTATTCCACCAAGTGCAACCCCATCCTCAACTTGAGGTCTTGACCAGACATTCGCCGAAATCATGGCGGCGCCCACTTAACAACGCACAACTGAAAAGAACAAAATCTTTCAGACTATGAATTTTATTGATAGCTCTGAAGCGAATTATTCTTACCAACGTACTAAAACGCTACTTCTTGGCACCCTCTCCAAGAAACTCCGGCTGAAACTAGCAGCCATTGTCACCCGTTCATATCCTTGGACGCTGTACAACCTTATCAAGACAAAGTTTGAAAATCAATCTAAACTTATCTACGAGATTATCGATACTAGTTACCTTCGGGAATTTATGCACGATCCAAATGAGTCCCTCAGAGACTGGTCTCACTGCTGTGAGGATCTCATTCAGACCGCAGCTGAGAGACTACAGGTCTCAGGCCAGATTTTACAGCCAAAACCCCTCTTTGATTTATAGAAGTCGTCAGAGTTTGCTCACTCAAGAGAGCTAATCAAGTTGCTTAAATTACTCCCGAGAGTTGAGTTATTACTTAACCGACTCCCGAGAGCAGAGGAAATTTCCCAATCAGCTCCCGAGAGTGGATTAAGTCTGCCAACCGAACATTATAAAAATAGCTACGGTTATATGTGAGTCACATCTTATGCGGAAAGGTATTATGTCATTAGCGTGAGATTTAGTTGCAGAGAAGTCGAAATAGAATAGCTTCGAAGTGTTAAAGTGTTCTGCAGAAGGTTTCTCATACTGACCATACGAGGTTTTACCCTGGCCAGCCCAAGTGGCTGAACACTAGCACAAACACCTTAGGTATAAAGCCAAAGGTGAGGTCAGAAATAAATACATACATTTACACTTTATTTAAAGTCTATTACGTTACACTCTAATAGCAGCATCGAAAGGTTCTACATATGGTTCGTTGTGGCACAGAACTTGTTTATCGATGGCCTGCCGGCTGCCCAACATGCCCAGGTCCGAAATGTGTACCTCACTCAGATATCATTACGAGACACCATTACTATTATTGACTCCTGTACAAGTATTGAGAAATGGAGAAAGACGTTCGCCTCTCCCGCACCACAACAACATCTCGGAACCAATCTCGCCCCTGCTACAGATGTTATAATAGCTGATCTCGTTCGTATAATTGCGGAAGTTCGTACTACCCGTGGACAATCACGCGTCACGACCCGTCAACTCAAATGCTATGTTTATTGAAAAACTGATGACACCTCATCGATCTGCCCTAAGGGATGCGGCAAGTGCGGCAACATGACTCACACGGGCCGTGACTGTCTCCAAACCTTATTTGTCCTAACTGTAACCGCAAAGGTCACAATGACAAAGTTTGTTCACAATCAAAGTGTGCAAATAACCAGAATTCCCCTTATACAGTTTCATTTATTGCACGCGTAACTTTTCCCGTGGCCCGAGCCACCACTAGCTCCCCTCCTGACGACTCACTGTTAATAGACAACGGCGCTACTGTGAACTACATGCCTCACTCAGCTAAACCACTACAAACTGGCCGACAACCGTGACACACACATTTTTTGCCTAGGCCAACTCTCATTACTTGGGTTGACCTACCTTGACACTACAATCGCCCAAGGTATCGTCGCACAAAATAATGTTCAAGATGCGGGCTGCTCCATCACGTTTCCTGGCGACCAAAAGACGTACCATCTACGACGCATGGATACTACCATTGTTCTCCCAAGGATTCAGGGCAGCTAAATATATATTATCGGCCCTACAAACCTTTAACCAACCCCCAGGTTAAACTATTATAACAAACACAATCTTCGGATACAACTCCAACCGAGATCATACCTTTAGACACCACACCTAGCAATTTTACCATAACATACGACGGATACAATAGTGTAAGTGGTCACAGAAACAAAAAGATGACCCTCCGCATGGCCAAAAGAGACAATGCCACACTCACTCACCCCACACCATCACATGTGACCACAGAAGGCTGGATGTCACATACCTCTCTCTTCAAAACCGCAATACAAGCCATATATTATCACCCCACAATACACTCATCAACTACCGAGATATGTCTCTCCCGACGGTACTCACATCTTTCTGGATTGGCGCCATATAGATTTGATTCCAGAACAAAACTATGCCAACCCTAAATGGGCCGACATCTTAGAATTGATCGATGCTAACACTTACGCAGGCCCCACCCTCGCGATCGTCGTTCCTCTCTGCTCTTGTGCCCCCTGATGGGACATATTTCTTGCACACATCCAGAAGGAACCATATATTATTCAGAACACAACATCTACGTTTCTTCGTCATGGCTCCACGGCTGAGAGACTACAGGTCGCAGGCCAGATTTTACAGCAAGAAACCATCTTTGATATATGGAAGTCATCAGAGTTAGATCACTCCCGAGAGATAGGTCATCAGAGTTAGCTCACTCCCGAGAGCTAATCAAGTTGCTCAAATTACTCTCAAGAGTTGAGTTATTACTTAACCGACTTCCGAGAGCAGATTGAGTTTCTTAACCGATTCCCGATAGTGGATTAAGCCTGTCAACCGCAACGTTATAATAATAGCTGCGGTTCTATGTGAGTCACAACCTATGCGGAAAGGCATCATGTGATCAGTGTGAGATTTAGTTACAGAGAAGTTGAAATAGAAAAGCATCGAAGTGTTAAAGTGTTCCGCATAAGGTTTCTCATACTGACCATATGAGTTTTTACCCTGGCCAGCCCAAGCGGCTGAACACTAGCGCAAACACCTTAGGTATAAAACCAAAGGTGAGGTCAGAAATAAATACATGCATTTGCACTTTTTTTAGGGTCTACTACATTGCACTCTAACAACGGCGGTAAATAAACCGACGTGGTTATACTCCCTTATCACCTTTCTCGGATCTATTCACTCCCATGTTTACCCCTGGCGATGACTTCACTTCTGCCATCACTTTTGTGAAAGCCAACCCTGAGTTTCCCAAGCACTGTAACGTCTGCATTGAAGGGAAACTCATGGCCAAAAAGGTCTCACACAAGTCCATCAACAATGTCTACGGATCTGGAGAACGATTCCACATCGATCGCCAGGGACCATTGCCACCTGATCGCGATGGAAACGTTTACGCCCTTAACATGTTCGACGCGGGACACGTTTTGGCCATCATACCATTTTACCCCACAAGGACAGTATGCACCACAACATCCGGGAAATTCTCACCCCCGTCCCCCCCCCCCCCCGGTTCGGGTTCCAAATACTTGTTACTGACAATGATCCGGTCTTTCACAACAAGTCTGTCAAAGCGCTCCTCAACAATTCTAACATTTATCTCCGAGCTCCACCACCATATTCTCCGCAACAAAATGCTCACGTAGAACTCCCCCACGACACATTAAAAAATCTGGTTCGTGTTCTACTACTGGATGCCGGCATGTCCCCTCCCCTTAGAAGCTATGTCAAAGCCTTTGCCGATTATTTGCGCAATACGACGCTCGCTGAAAACGAGATACTTAGAACCTCATATTAAACGTTCCCTCAGAAAGATACCCAGCGCAATCCTCGTGCTCA